CTGTAATGTTGCGCTGCTTTATTTGGTTAATCGTCCAGTCTGTGAAGAAGGCATTGAAGTAAGAATTGCATTGTAGTTTGTAGTATGACTCATTTCCTGGCGCGTACAATTTATATTAGGTCAGCGATCAAGGTTCGACTTCTGATATTCAGATCGAGTTCTAGGTCAAACTGGTTTGTTCGACTTAAGAAATTTGAGTTCTAGTGAGTTCGAGAACCGAGGTACCACTGTATATATTTGTCCTCTGTAGAACATTTGTCTATGAGCTGTAAGTTTGTTTTTCAGATTGTAAACAGTTGTTTGGAGTTGATAGAAGAATCGCCCATGCAAAGGTACAGAAAATGAATTTTTCCTCTGTTTTAGCAGTATTACAACATAGTGTCTCCAAACACTTTACAAGGGAAAAGGGTTTACATTGCTGATTAGGGTTGGGTACCGATGTCGGTACTTTTAAAGGTACCGACCGAATGATGTCGGTACTACCGGGTATCGTTCATGTCAAATCAAACGGTGCCAAATTTCGGTACATTCACATGCTCATCAGCAGCGGTGCGCACGAACTGAGCGGGACATAAGTAACTGGGAGAAAGCTGTTGATTAATTTAAACCTATCTCAGCGTTTCAATGCAATTTACATTTAAAGCAATAATAGCTAGGATAGACAGATATTTATTGCAGTTAAATTTCAATTTGCTATTTAAGCGGTCGTGTTAGTTTTGTTTACCATGACAATGGTTGCCAGGGGAAGAAAGCACATGTGTGAAGAAACTATGTTGAAATCTGAAGACATGGCGGCAAGCCGAAAGTGTTGGAGGGTATGCCTATACATTTCACTAAAACTGATGCAGACAGCGTGACATGCAATATTTGCCAGGCAAAATGCAGAACTGGGGCTAGCAATACGTCGAACTTGAAGAAACACCTCGTTAAACATAAAATATATTTACGGGCGGATGAATGTTCGGTGTTTGATAATTGGAGCGCCACAGTTAAAGCTACAGCCCCTGCACCGACAATCATCTGTGCAGCCAGCTTCGACATCGAGAACATCGAAACTGCGTCGTGGAGAAGTTCTGATGCATCTTCAGGTAATTAGTGAACTATCTGTTTTAGTTATTCAGGGATATTTTTATAAAAACTGTAATAAATTGATATTGTAGTTGTAACATAAGAACAGCAGGTTGTGTGACGCTGACAATTTTGTTCTCTTGCTTCAATTGACAGATCTCCCTCGTGTCACAGTGAGAGCAGCACAAGTGATACCCTTCACCCTTGCTCAGAAGGGGGCCTTGTCTCTTCAAAAAGTAAATGAGTGCCACAGGGCAGTGACCGCATTCATTGTCAAAGAGATGCTGCCCTTTTCCAATGTGGAGGCCACATGTAACTTATCATATGGCCTTTTGTAAATGAGGGGTTATGTGTATGATTATGATGATGATGAAAATAAGATACTAATGAAAAAGCAGTGTTATTATTTATAGTATACTGTCTTTTTATGATGATAGGGAAATGATAGGGACCCTGAACCCAAAATACCACCCCCCATCCAGAGATCTTCTCTCAAACACCTTCATACCAACTTGGTATGACATAGCAAAAGAAAATCTCAAGAGGGAACTCCAAGCTGTTCACCATGTCACAGTGACTGCAGATGGGTGGAGTAGTCTGGCCAAAGATCACTACCTGACAGTCACTGTGCATTACATTGTGGAGGCCGAGCTCAGGGAAAAAGTGCTTCATACACGCATAGTTTACATCTCACAGTCAGGGCCTGTAACGGCAGAAGAGATAGATACCATTTTAGAAGATTTTGGGGTGAAGTCAAAAGTGGTAGGAATTACTGTTGACAATGCAGCAAACACGGATGTAGCAGTGAAGCAGAAACAAATCTTGAACATGGGGTGTTTTGCTCACACACCTAATGTAGCTGCTCAAAAGCTATACAGTCTGAAAACAGTAGCCAGCTGGTTTGCAAGGATAAGATCCATTGTGGTGTGGCTGAGGAAAGCTAACCTTGCTAAACCTGTCCTCAAGAAAAAACAGAGTCTACTTGGTAAGTTTATGATGGTCAATGACAAAAGGAATGGGAAGTTTACACTCACCTAAAGGATTATTAGGAACACCTGTTCAATTTCTCATTAATGCAATTATGTAATCAACTAATCACATGGCAGTTGCTTCAATGCATTTAGGGGTGTGGTCCTGGTCAAGACAATCTCCTGAACTCCAAACTGAATGTCAGAATGGGAAAG